TTTCAGATCGTGGCTAATAGTATCAACTAATCGATTAATCTGATCTTTCGTGTTGTGTTCTCTATGCATTTCACAACTGGTGATCCATAATCCTCTTTTTTGGATCTCCCTAGGAAAAGTTATTCAAACACTTTCGATGATAGTGTCAATAAACTTATCGTTCTATTTGGAGGGTCGCAAGGAATTAATGACAGATCAATCCTGGTTGTTTTTCTACACATATCCATTTTTCGGGGTGTCGTAAAAACTGTTTATGTCTAAAAGGGGGTCGGAAAAACTGTTTATATCCAAAAGAGGGTCGCGGACCAATAAGTTTGAGAATCACTGGTACAAATTCCTCCAAAGGTTATTCTGGTTTTGGATTTATTTTTTTGTGCAACTTTTCATATTGGGATGTGAGTTGTTCTAAAAGTATTCTTGTTGTATTGTATTTCTTTGGATATTAATAAATATAAATATAATTATTGTTAATATGTTTATATTTAAAATACATTAAACATTTTGTTCGATTTTTATATAATGTAATGTTAAATAAAATATTATTTTTATACTGCAATATAAACTAATTGGAAAATAATAATGACGAAATATATTTAATTTTAGTTTATGGGAAAAACTCATTACACAGGATTAATAGTCGTATCGTTTCAAAGCTAGAAATATATTTATAATTTTAATATATTTAGTATATAATTACATTGTTTTATTCACTAATATTGTCGGGATTTATTTTTAATTAATCTCTTTCAACATTGTGTAACAATTCAAAATTGGATGGACCCAGTTTTTTGTTTCAGCATTTTAGTAATATTTTATGTAATTTTATATCATACCGTAGTTGAAATATGAGAAGAGAATATGGATTTTCAGTATATTTATTGAAACTTTGATTTACAATGGATGAAAAACTAAAATTATAAAAATTATTATTATCTTGTAACTTTAGTTTATTATTAATTATATTAAAATTATCAAAACTGTATTTCTTCAATCAAATATTTTTTTTATTAATTATAGATTAGTTAAGAAACAATAATAAATTTAAGTATTGTATAAATGATCCAGTAATGAAATTTCACATATAGTTTACATTTTTCGGGGGTTGCAATTTTTTTTAATGCAAAAGTGAGTCGCGGCCTAATAAAGTTTCAGAAATGCAATATCTTACTAAAATTACCATTAACTATTTTTTTCCGAATGTCGAGTTATGCCATAAAAAAACAAAACGGCTTATAAGTTATTATAGAAAGTGTTATAAGTCAATTTGGAGCTAAAACTTGTTTATTTTCTTTAAAAAATTTAATAATTATTATTGCATAATGAAATTTAACAGTTTTATAGTGTAAAAAACATCACACGAATTGAGAAATCAATTCAAACTAGAACCCTTAAAGATGTCAATATATGAAAAAAAATGGCTCATATTTTAGATTTAAATGAATACATACGCAAACTTTCTGATATTTGATATTAATATTGTATAGATTCATTTATAATTGAGAGTAATATAGCAACTTTGCAAAATGTTTAAAGCAAATATTTATTGAACAAATTTAGTAAAAGACTGGTGTGTTTTCAAAATATTTTGCTTCAGGTAATTGTATACTCAGTTATTTTATAAACATTTGGAAAGTCATTATTTTCTACAGATTTCTAGTAATATCGTTCCGACTCAAGCCATTCTGGTTCTTCTTGCATTACATTGAAAAATATAACGAGATACAAACTGTATTTTTGATTTTAATATCATGTAATTATTAAACCATAATATTGATTTAAAACTCAATTTATTAGAGGTAAATAAATAAATATAATAGAATAAAACAAACATTTATACATAGATTTATTGACAGCAGTCTGTCCACACTCATTAATAATAATTATAAAATATAAAATTGCTGATAAAAAATATGTATTTATTCAGTAAATGTATTTAAAATATACTTATTTTAATTAAATTAAATGTATTATGATTCACTCTTTCTTTTATATATTAGCTACAGTGAATAAACCATGCCAGGCCCTTTGTGAGTTCCCTAGGAGCTTGTAGCAATAGTGCCATTCATCATAAATGGACAGTCAAATGAATGAGGTTCAACAATATTCTACCGAAGTTAACCTACAAGACTACAGCCAACCACAAGCAAATTAATAAGAAGAAAATAATGGTAAAAAGTTACATTGGAAACTTTACCAAAAAAAACAAATGTCTACCGCCATTAGATTTAATTAATGTTCGCAGGAATAGATTGTAAAAAAAGAAAGAGAACAAACATTCTTTATACATTTTACATTATTATCTGTAATAGTATTGTTTTTTTTCTTAAATATTTAATATTGCTTTTATAGCTGCTTCAAAATAACTATTTCAATAGTACTTACATAATAAATTTTGTATTAAATTCTTAATAATTGCCTGTAGTTTTTTACGTAATTGTATATTAATATATATAATAATTTAATTACGTAAACATATAATCAAAACAAAAATATACAATGAGCTATACACTAAAGTGTGTAAAAATTTGTAGAAGCGTAAGTCTTGACTTCTTGTTAAGCATATATAAGATGGATTTAGTGAATGCATTCACCGACAGATTTAAATCCCTTTGATACTCTAACATGGCTAATTTGATACCCTTTAAATGCGTGGTAAGTGCTGTCGTTAATATTCACGCGATAAACGGTGACACGTTTAATACCGTGTGTTCATTATCATTATCTCCATATCGTACACTATCTTGAACGTTTTGTGTGTGCATGATTAATTTACCGTGACGGACCGTTAAGATTTGTAACAGTTCTACCACTTACAGTTCTACCACTTATTTCATCAACATTATAAGTAACATTAGATAATCTATTTACTCGTTTCTTTTATATAAAGCAATAATATAATACTAAAAAATTAATAGATTATTATAAAATATTAAATAATAACAAAATAAATGTCCGATTTTATATTTTTAAACCTGGAATAAGTGACTCTAGTAGCCGCCTGCTACGGAGGTAGTATTATTATTTAAAATTAAATATATAATATAGAAATAAATTTTATGCAAAAGTTAAATAACTAAGCGTCTAGAATGTCTTTAAATCCTTATCTCTTAATACTTTTTCAATAGGAACTTTTCTTTTTTTCTTAATATTCAAACGTTATTTTAACGTAATGAATGACATCAAACATCGATGATGATTGTCGGGCGTTGGCCCTAAATTGGAATATTTTTTTGATTGAAATTGAGGACATCGTTATATCGACGATTGATAACGAAAGTAAAGATAAACGAGGTATGTCTATACTTAAAGTATAATGATGTTTTATAAGTACAATTATTGGTGAATGGACTTTGAAAAATAATATAAGTAATAATTTTTATAGATTTTATTAGCTGGGATACTTATCTAGGAAGCATGAATTAGATTCCCGGTATCAAGACTGTTTTATCTTTCAACTACTAAAAGTAGGTCATCCGTCTAGTATGGAAAACTGCAGTAATTCAAATAACCATCCGATATGGTCTAGTGGCTAGGATACCTGGCTTTCACCCAGGAGGCTCGGGTTCGATTCCCGGTATCGGAATGCTTTTATATTTAAACTACAAAAATAGGTCATCCAGTAGATCCAATAATCTGTGGTAGGTCTAAGAACATCCGATATGGTCTAGTGGCTAGGATACCTGGCTCTCACCCAGGAGGCTCGGGTTCGATTCCCGGTATCGGAATTATTTTATATTTCATGTAATAATGACCTAGAAATAATCTTATTTGCTCAATTTAGCTCATATGACCTTCTTATAAATGCCAAAAAAGGTTATCCATGTTTAGATTTTGATATTTTCGATTCGTATCGATCAGGAAGACCAACAACTTTAGACAATGACGTGTTAAGGGCAGAAGTGGAAGCAAATCTATGTCAAAGAATCTAGGATCTGTCAAACACTTAACCAACCTTGTACTGCATTTGCAGATCAGGTGTTTGGATCCCGCATAATCTGTCTAAAGAAAACCAATCGCTTGATCACTGAAGATGAAAAATGTTGATAACGTGTGTGTGATTACATCATTTATTAAAAATAAAAATAAAAACAAATTAAAATTTATTTGTTTGAATTTAATCTATATAACAATATATAAACAATTTAAATTTTAAAATTCTCCTTTTTTGTAAATATATATTGGAAACAAAAATAAAACTACAAGAAGCTCCATATAATAAGAGATGAGCGTAAAAGTTCATAATATGTTGCAAATAGATTTTAAATAAAATAATCAAGAGAATAGAAACTATTCTTCACGTCTTAACGGAACAATATATATGACTATAACCCAGTAGTATAAGTTCATAATAACTGGTCTATTCTTCTTTATAAAGTTGCTATTCAAAAAAATCTTAATACCAAATACCAGCGTCATTTTGTCCTATATCTTTTTAAGAATATTGAAGACTGAATCCATATTTGCGCTATGTTTCTTAAAATATAACACACTAACATCTGGAAATGAATCTAGACATAGAATACAAAAACTTCAAACTCTCTTTTATCCAAAATATTCTTGATTCTTATCCTTTAGGTACGTATGTAATATTTTTTCTAAAATATTGTAAATATTTATGAAAAATATGAATAATAATATATACGTAATTTGCTTGAAGTGAAATTCAAAAATCCAATATACATTGTAATGGAAAACAAATAATTTCTGATCCAATAAATTTGATTAAATGCGGAAATGTTATGTATTAATGGGCATTAAAATATTATAGTATTATAAAGTTTTACTTAATCAATTTACATTGTAATGGAAAACAAATAATTTCTGATCCAATAAATTTGATTAAATGCGGAAATGTTATGTATTAATGAGCATTAAAATATTATAGTATTATAAAGTTTTACTTAAACAATTTACATATAAAGTTAATGAAGAAAATGAAATGACATGCATAAATCAAAAGACAGTGATACAAAGCGGAGAATAACTTAATAATGAATTACCTTCTTGCTGGAATGTTTGTGATACCGTGCCGGATGCTGCATACATAAATATCTGTCCATTGCCATGCAAATTAGGATGACTGCGGATTGCTGGCTGATGGCTCCTCGAAGTAGGGCCTGCAATAATTAAAACCCAATTATATAACTTCTCTCTGCCTTCGCCCCTTCTGCATTACAGGCGGGTGCACATTAAGCGGAGAATGCACATCTCTCACCCTAGAAAAGCGCGAAGCTTGTTATTAAATTTTCTTTAATTAAAAACGATTGCATCCCTGCTGAATGTATTCAATTTTTATTAAATTGAAACATACCGATGTCAACAGAAACGCTTGAAAAAACATATACAACTAGTGCGATATCTCTATATTTTTTTTCGCACCTTTCAATTAAGCGCACGCCGTATGCATCTACGTAATCAGGGCAATGCAACTTTAGTGCCTCTGTTTACCCCCAAAGGCCTATGCATAAAAAAGGTATACGCACATTCAACATCCAATAAGTTAATGTAAAATTGTACTTGAAGTGGAAAATTTTGTATTTGATTATAAACTGGATGTAATATACCAAACACTTTAATTATTAACGATAATCCTGTTGCCAATAAATTATTATGTATTTTAATATATCCAAGTAATTGTGACATAGTTACTTTTACTATATATTGAAAATATAATAAAAAAAAAAGTTACAATTAAAGGGCAATTCCAATGATTTTCCGCCGGAGAATGCGCGGGAAATTTTAAATTTCATATTTTCATACTTTTTGTAATACAAATTAGTGATTAAAATATTACAAAACATATATTTTTCTATATTGTTGTTGGTGAGACAATTAATTTGTATTTATTGCTATTATCCTATTTTAATTATTGGGAATACCTTATATTCACTTCCATTTATATATATATAAACCATACATTTTTGTAATACATCATTAGTTCTTCAGCAGCTTTCAGTGAAACTACAAGTGAAAAATATTAAAATTGAAATGGATAACTTTTTTATCAGTGCAATACATCGTGCCCCAGGATAATAACTTTAAAGCAGATGAAGTTATCTAAATAATGGATGATGATGATATTCCTAGTGTTAATCACGAATCGAGTTTTGACTTTCATAAAGCTATAGACAACGACGATCAATTTATGGATATTAAGGAATCGGTAGAAAGCGGACAGAAATTCAGTGTTGATAATAAGAAGAAAATTAATATCAGTTTAAAAAAAGTTGTTACTAATTGTCTAAGTGAAAATAAGAATGAAAATATCTGCTTTTTGCAGAAAAAAAAAGTTGCCAATTTACAGAAGGAGACCATTGCTCTGAAAAAGTATGATGATGCTGGAAAAAGATCTAAAAGTAAAAAAGATAATAGCGACAAGACAATTGCTAAAATCGCGGAGAAAGTCAGGAAAATATATGACGAGGATAAATATGCATGCAGGACAAAAGTAATAAGTACTTGGAATAAAGTAGTTTATAAACATGAAATCAAAAGAAAAGCAGACAAAATTGTAGAAAAATGAGGAAGAGAATTTGGTAGAGCCCAAGACAATGAAGGAAGAATTAGCAAAAATTGATAAAGTGCAAGATTATGCAAGAAAATTGTAGAATGTGGATAGCTACGAACTTATGAAAGCTCTGATGAAGTTGAAAGGCAGAAGATATTGAACATTTTTTTAAATTTTATGTTTGTATATAAATATTTTTATTTCTATGTGATCGATTGATCAAACTTATGTATATATGTGTTTTATTATAATAAAATTATTATTTAACCTAATTTTTTGATATTTTTATTTTACAAAACTTCGACGCAGATGAAGAAATCGAAAAAATTGATGATGAGGATAATCTGACTGTTTTATTGTTTAAATTATTTGAACATAAAAAGTTAAATCATTTATTGCAAAATATGAAATATATATTCAAAATTTTAAAGGAGTTCATTGTAGTATAGTGTAGTATATCTTAATTTAACTTTAAATTTTACAGGTAATTTCTTTTTATTTCATACATAAACTGCATTCGATGAAACCGATTAGCAATTTTGATTTAATTTATTTTAACTTTTTTAATATTCCAGGTTCAAATTATTAATAATGTAATATGATATGTGAAATGTATTGTTATCGCATTTGCATTGCGAAAAAATTAAAATTCAATTTTAAAAATTTAACAGAGAATTCTCAACACTATGGAAAAGCATTTGGCGTTTGATATAAAAAAAAGTAAAATGTTTTCCAATTGACGCCATCCATATAAAAACGAATAGCGAATGATCTGAATTATTTTGCTCCAGATGAAAGAGTAAAATGAATCGGTCCTCTTTGAATAGTACAATTATATACGCAGGTGTCGGCATTTTGTAGCAAATGCGAAATTAGTACGTGATTCGTGCATCTGTTTCACTCCAACACTCACATTTTCTCTCTATATTCCGCACAGCTTTTCGATTCCATTTCAAGCTTGTAACATTCGATGAACGCTGATTCAAATCCTATATTCGAGGGATCAGACATCCTGTGGGTGGATTTATAACATATTTTTCATGTCCTGTTTGCACCTGTAGATCGGCTTAGCACCGCGATGAAAATATGTGACGAATGAATTTGATATTCAACATTCCATTTTTTTTAGTTGTGTCACTGCAGATTCACAACATGCGATGTATAAAACTATGTAAAGTAGTATCGCATTCCGCATGCACATATTGCGATAATATGTACATACGTGTATACAAAGAACATCGTATAACATCCCTTTAATGAGAATTTGCAGCTTTTTTATAATAACTTCGTGTAATGGTTGAAAGACCTTTTGGTTGGAAAGCAATAACGATGCAAAGCAATGTGAATGTATACATTAATATTAAAATGTTCATTTAATAAACATAATATTTAAAAGACTTAATTTATTTCTACTACTGCAATAAAACGGAATTCATTGTTTAAAGATTATACAAAAAAACCCATTTACATAGCATGTAAATATTGTGATTTTGGAATGAAAATTATGTTATTATGCAATTAATAATTATGCACTTATAATTATTTAGATTTTAGATATACATTAAATCCTAGCATAATTAGCAAAACAAATTGTAACAAAAATTACTCGCTCAACGAGCGATGTTTCGCTTAAGGAGAGATGAGGAGAAGCGAAGTCTCGGATTGTACGCCGCTACATCATTTTACAAACTTGTGTTCAGTCATAATATGTGTGTTTTTTTGGAAAATTTAATAACCCTTGCAAAATGATCCACTCTAATCTTAAATTGTCTCATTTGCAATAAATACAAAAGATTAACTGTTGAAAAAAATCTGTATTATTTTGTATAAGTCTTGTAGTACTATTTTTTTAATAATTAATAATAAAATGTAGTTATTATCAATAAATGTATTTATTTTTATAATAAATTTACTACATAGAACAATTATTCTTTGCTATAATATGGCTATTTTATATAACAACTAAGTGATGTACAGAATAAGTGACTAAATCAAGTATGCCAATCCGCGGCGCATGCGGCATAATTGAAGTTTTCAGCGTTCTATCTTATGCATTACAGAAGCATTACATATCGCTGCGAATCGTTCATTTTAAAATTAGATTTAGTAAAAACTATTGTGTGGCCCACCTAATCTCAATACTTTTTAGCCCACCAAATGATTTGAGTTGGGCAATCATGGACTAAATAATCCAATTATATAACGTTTAAAACCGAACTAATCGAGGACTTTAAAAGCATATAAAAATACATTGCACAAAAAGAGACTTGTTTGTATCAAAATAATTTTGTGTATACATTCATTAAAATTTATTTTTATATTGTCAATAAAACTAAATTTAGTATGTTGCAAAATTTTTAAACAGGTCTTTAGTGAATCGAAACGGATCGAAACCACACCATGTGAATTATTTCTGTATTCAATAAATTAACTACTTTTTTATATCGTATATTTTTTTTACAATCTGTTCTTCAATGTGAACATTGAGTAAATTTAAGATCGCGGTTGACATTAAATGGATAATCTTTCCCATTATGATAATTTATTTTTTTAAATTTGTTGGTTGGCTGTCGTCTTGTAGGTTAACTTAAGTAGTATATTGATGATTCCACTATTTCCTTTGACTGTGAATCTGCTGCTATCCTTAACACTATTATTGTTCATCGACTTGGCTGAAGGTCCATATGCTGAACCTCGTTCATTTGACTGTCCATCTGTAATGAACGATGGCCCTATTGCTGCAAGCACCGAGAGGGCTCATAAAGGGCCTAGCTTGTTCAGGATTCGAACCGGCGCCCACTAAATTGTGGGTAGGGCGACTTAACCATTCGGCTATTAGTCGCCCTAAATTAACTATTGAAAATAAATCTCTTTTGTTTAAAAAATTAAGAACGTTTTTGTTTGAAAAGTTTATTTATTAGCCTTTATTTTTTTTTTAATTAAATTAATCTACAGATATTTTTCATCATAATTATATACAAACAAAGCTAATTATGCTTGGACACCAGTTGACGCCTAATTATGCTTAAATATAGGCATGTCTATAAAACGAAAGTTTTCAGCTTGACTTTGTTGCATCCATGCAAATATTTGATAGGCAAATGTTTGTCCGAGCGCTGGAAATTATTGAAGCGGTTTTAAATTTGCAATATATGAAACAAGCAATTAAAACAGTACATTGAAACATTGAACTTTTATTGTTCATAGAATATATGCAGAATGATTAACTAAAGAAATTAATTTTCGCATTATTATTGCAATCATTATACCAAAATTTAAATCTAATTAAGAATGTTTATATACCTCAAAATTAATTCTATTAAAAATGTAATTATTTGTTGTAAAAATCAATTGCTTTCATTATTCAAGTTCTTGATTTGTTAAGAAAAAGTAGTAAATAAATTGGGATTTAATTAGTGCCATTATGAAAGTAATATCAAGTTTTGTACGGTAAATTAATTTTCTTTATTAATTGTGATAATAATTTTATTGATTGATACCAAGTGTACTACAGTATTGAGATATAATACTTAGGTTAAAAATAGAAATCCGGTATTTTCTTTTCCCTGTATCTAAGATTTAACAAAATATATGTATATTACTTATTTA